CTTTCATTACTGGCAAACATCACTGCTGATGTCAAGAAAATCCTATTTAATTTCATCTAGCATATTGAGTTTCTAGCGAAATTCCTGAGAAAATTGATTTTTCTATCAACCCCCCCATTTTTTTTGACACCTGCATAATTTCATTTACAGTTCACAATAGGGTTCGCACAGGCAAAGGCTCACCCAGCAGCACATGTCCATCCCAAACTGTTTCTAACTTCCCAGATTAACAGCAAGTTTTTGCCTAGAAATGGAAAAAAAACCCCCATCATCAGTGGTTTGGACACTCCTTGCTGTTTTCACATCGAGTCCCTGAATTTGCTTTGTGAAAGGTGGAGTTTTGAGCAAGGCTTACAAAGCCAAGTGTGCAGAGACTTGGTGCTTTACCATCCTTCCTTCCCCCAGCAACACTGAGGGAGCTGCTCTTACAAATCATAGCAAAATCTACCGAGGAGTTGTTTCACTCACAATGCTGCTCTTCAGTATTTACACAAAATCTGGTTCTTGTTGCTTTCCAGAGACAAGTACCAGAGTGCACACTCTGATCTCTCTGATGGAAAATGGTCTAGGCAGTAAGGAGAGATGGCCACTTCTTGTGATGCAGTTTTGAAGTGCAGGGACCATTAGGTTTTCACCCTTCACACAGAAACCTTACCCATTCCCTTTTAACTTATAAAAACCCATGATGCTCAACCTTTAATCATATTTAATACTAATTCTGAAGGATTTTGACTACTGACAGGCTAAACTTCAAATTATGCAATCATCATAATAATTTCTATTTACATTCATTCGAAGCTTTATCTTAATTTAAAAATGCAAGTGTAATTTGTCAAGATTCCTATTCATGCTGTTAAATGGATTTATCTGTCAATTAAATTTTTATACAAATCATATCTAATGGGAAGCACTGAACCTGGCAGGGGACACAGAGAAAAGAATAATAAAGAAGGGCTTCTATGAGTATGATAATCAGAAAAGGAAGTTTAAAGAAGGTGTACCCACCCCAATAAACAATGCTGGTAAATGTATCTTTAAGGTCCCTTCTAACCCAGCCCATTCTATGATTTGTTCTATGATTTTGACAGAAAGCAATACTTCTATAGTCTTTTTGTACATCAGAGACTGCCTTTCTCTTACAAACAGTAACCTGTACTTAACATTGCAGCTGCCACTTACTCACTTTCAGTCAAAGACCAATTCAAATGCCACATTCAAGCTCCACACTTTTCCACTTCGGTCTTACTAAGATATTGTGAGCCACTGAATACTGTTCAGCATTACTCAAGCCAAACACTTGGGAGCTAAGTAAGATCTTCAAGATAAAAACTGCACAATAAAATGTTCAGGATGGGATATAGATTGAAATAGCAGCAGATCACTGTCTGCTTTCAGGCATACACCAAGTGTTTCCTGAGGGGTAGTTCAGAGCTCTTCAAGATGTCTCTACTTAGCACATCTCAGATCCAAGTCCATAAGCCAAGCTGAATCACAACAATATTAAACAGGAGCCTAAACCAAAAACGCTATTTAGACTGGGTGAGCTTGCCCATTCTTGTTCATTTACAACCTAATACCAATGATGTTCCATCAGCACAGGTTACCAAGCTTTTCTCCCATAAACTCACTTCCTCAGTAACAGCAGTAGAGTGAGACAGCAAAACTGCAACAAGGAGACAGTGCTTCAAAGCTCCCTCCTGCTGCTCACAAAACCACAGAAAAAGCAAGCTGTCTCACTGAGAAGCCACTGACTTCCTCCTCCCAAATTCAGTTAAGACCAAGTCAACCCCGACACAGCTGGAGAAGTTAACCATAGGAGAGAAGAAAGCAAGAAATGCATTTTCATGGGCTGCATTTAAACAACAGCTGTACTGTGGAACAGGGAATGCTAAATTCTTGCTTCTTTCAGCTGCCCACATTTCAAGCTTGGATAGCTGACCTTCACATCTAGCATAATACTAGCTTTCTACAGCACAAAACAGTATAAAGAATTAACAAAGTAAATCCATTATCACTTCCAAGAAGTCAAGATAACAGAATTATCAGAAATCAGATTTTATTCCTTCACGTGGTTTGCTGCTCGCTTATTATGTTTTTTGTCTTCTGGAATTAACTAGATTATTGCTATCCATACCCACATCAGTAAACAGAAATGCCATTTTTGCCAGATCCTCAGAGATATTTCAAGGATATTAGAGCAAAAGATAGATGCTATTCTTACTGATAAAACATTACTAGGGAAAGATTCTTGTGTTTGATGATAACAGAGAATCGATGACAATTCTCTGACCTTGACTATGAGACTAACAGTTGTGTACTGCTTTTTTCTTCTGTTGTTCTTCACCAGCTCTGTGTGCCTGAAGGCACAGGTTGGCAGAGAGAATTCCCCACACTCATACTGATAGTTAATGACTTTTAAATTTAATATTCTTGACACCAAGGAGATGTACACATACTGACTAAAGCATATGTGGTAGCTATCACTATCACTAGCAGGAAATGAGCATGCTTCAGGAATTCCAAAGCATTGAGATGGTTTAGATACAAAATGTTCCTTCCTCTCTTTCCTCCCATTATACACAGTCACTTAAAGAATAAAAAGTCTGACAGATCACAATATTTTTCTGAAATTCGGTTCCATTCACATCTCCCTCACTTTCAAAAACACAAACATCATGGCGTAATTTCTGGTACAGACTGAAAACAGAACCCAAGCCCAAATGCTCAGGACACTTACTGCATTTCCAGCAGAAGCTGAATTCTGCCTTTCTCTAATTCACATTAAGGCTATGAACATAAGCCCACTGGCTTGTCTTGTCCTCTCCAGCTATAGTACTGCCACCTTCCATTTAGATATATATACACAAGGTGTGCAATTAGAACATTCCTCAGTGAGAGTAACCAACACCCTCTGCCTCCTTCCAAATACAACCAACCAGTAAGCAAAATAAAAACTACAATCCATTTTGGAACAAAACCTCATTAACCTTCTTCCATTATGTTTTTGTCTAGAAGAATTATTGTATGTTATACAGACTGCACAATCCAGTAGTGAACAAACAGGTATTCATAATAAATACAGAACCAATATTACATAGTAAATATAACAAAATACCTCTTGCCATTTCCTAATGATAACCTTATGCACTGAAAATTCATGGTATCAGTGGTGTTCTTTGCTTTAGCTCTCCACAGCAAGAACAACAGGGTTCCCAGAAGGTCATAGTGATTTTCTTGTCAAAGTTAATGCAGCAAACCCTTCAGTGTAATGGGAAAAAACCATTTCTGTATATGGCACTGAACCTGGGACATATTTCAGGAACTGACACTTGTGCAGTTTTCTTCAGAAACATTCCAGAAAATACACTAAGGTGAGATATTGACTGATCCTAATTTGGACAGGCCCATTAATTTTCCAAACCTACTGGCATATTTTAAGTTACACTTCTCTCAGCACTTCTCCCACCCCACTTTGTATCTCTAGGTGTCTCCATGAACTTACTTGAGACTTCAGTGGAAAATTCAAATAAACTTTTAGTTATTAATTCAGCTGCTACCTAATTATCACAGGTATCAGAAGATCAGAATTACCACCTCCATTTCACAAAGGGAAGTAGCAAAGTCAACAGGATCTTCTGAAGTCATCCCACAGGTCAGCAGGAGACAGACGAGAAGATAATTTGGGCTCCACAGTGCTGTAGAAAGCTCCATGCTATACAGCATTGTGCCAGCTCTCAAAAAGTCATGAAGTCTTTACATGCAAACACACTGGCAGATGTCAAGTGCTAGGAGGTAGAGTTATATTCTGGAAACTGAGTATCTGCCCTGCAAACATTTTTATTTTGATGGCTGCTTTTTTCACTCTTAATTGCCAAAATACATACATGGAAAGATACATTGTATTTCCCAGAAGTTATTGGCTATTTCGTATTCAAATTAGTAATCCTAACATAAAATTTGTAAATATACAGTGTGTTATTTATCTGAGATAATTTTAAGGGAAAACAGCTACCAAGGCTGTGAAATTGGTACTTAGAAATTAACTCAAACTTTGGAAACAATTACCTCAAGACTGAATACTTTTCCTAAACATGTGCACTACAATGCAAGCTGTAAAACTCGACCAAGTGTCATGACCTGTTCCATACAGGGAACTAGATTAGATGGGGTTTATGCCTCTGAGAACTCCCTGTGAAATTCCACATAAATACATACCATGAGAAATTCAGTAGCCACAAAAACCACGAGTGTGGTTATTATATTTTAATATCTGCACAGAAGTAACTCACAGATGTCAGAGCTTTTTCTCAAGTCACAAGCATCTAAGAAACTAAGACTATCATATTCCTGTAGGTGCTAGCACAAGATCTTTCTTAACTTACTATCACGGGGCTCAGGCCTGCCCTGACCCAAGAGGCAGCATTATTTCTCTACTCATATAGCATTCTAGAGACAGGCAGCCCTAAAGCATGGTGGTGGAAAAGCTAAATAAATAGGAAAATAGATGAGGAGTAAGGAGCAGTAAATCACCACAACAGAACCAAGCAGCAAACAGCAGTCTGTTCTGTATTACAGATGGCAATGCATTCAGGCTACAGTCTTAGGGGATTTCCTATTTGGGAAGACATACAGCAGAGATACTCCACATTGTAAGTGGAAAAACAAAAAAAGCAGTAATTTTTCAAATACAGTTTATTCATCTGCCTCAGTCAAGCCCATCCGACTGACTTCTGCTACTTGAACTTTATGTATATTTTTGAAATGCTGAAATGAGAAAACCTGACCTGGAAAAGGGAGTTTTAGAAACAAATCTGATGGAGAAACCACACCAGCTGCCAAGGCCTGACTCATTGTTCTGTTCACTATAATGAAAAGCCCAAATCCAATAGAGAGTCAGTCAAAGAGATGGAGAAATCTGGTTCTTTGAACACCGGACAGTTCTGCTTGCATTAACTTATTTTCCTCCCTCACCTCCCATCCTGTCTCCTCCTTTCACTTACCAAGGGCTTGGTTTCATCTTCATCTTTGAAATAGTAAAGCTGGTCCCCCTTGAGAACAAACCAACGTGTGTGCCAGGTCTTGACGAAGCCTCCTTGCTTCCGCAGCCACCCGCACTTAATGGCAACGTGCCGCCCTTGGCTCAGTGGGGGAGTCTCCGAAGAGCCATTGTGTTCCTCCATACTGGGAATGAGCAACTCTCCTGTTGAGCAAACAAGAGGGAAAGGTAAAATAATTAGATTATCATCCAGGCAGTAACTCGCTCCTTTCAACACAGCTGGAAAAGAAACGCACCTCAACTACAAGGAAAGAAAAGGTTAGGAAAGCACTTCCCATCTGCCTGCTTATTCCCATACTAGCACACTCCATCAGCTGAGAGAATTATTACTTGCCTATAAAATGCAATAATAATAACGAACTGCTAAAAAGCAGGCAAAAGGGCAAAAGTTTTGTTCAAGTGCCATGTAGACACTCTGACCAGCACTGAAGAAGACATCAGCTGTTTCCTGTGGTGAGCTCTGCTGGACTACAGGCAGTAAAACAAGGAATGAACTTACAAGTGCACCTTCAGATCAAGGAAAGCAGCATGCTTATCACTACTGGACCTCCCCATTTAATATTCCTGCACAGGTTTGGGGCTTCCAAGTTCATATTAAAGAAGACTCTGCTTCACCAAGGCTTAATATAACCCACCACACAAAGAGGTTTTGTTGGGGTTTTTGGTTCTTTTTCCTGAAGTCCATTTACTGGAATGGTGACAGAAAATGCAAGAATAGCTGCATATCACCTTACACAAGCAACCCCCTGACTGAAATGAGTGTGTCCAGCTGCTTATTATAGACATTTTGCAAATCATGGAGAATTTTGGCCCATCAATTTAAGGCTCAAGAACTATGTCAAAACTAGAGCTGAGCTGTGGAATTAAACTTGACAAAGTTTCACGTGGTGTTGCGGCCTCGTTAAAATGATACTTTTTACCATATCTGGGCAGTCACGACTCTTCCTGATGGATTTTGTACATATAATCATGTAGTAACTGCTTAACCTTCATGGTCAAAAGGCTCTGATCCTCTATAAAGTCTAGAATTCAACAAACTTGGGATTTCGAGTTGCATGTTCTGATATTTCCGGTTGAAATACAAAGCAAACTGAGACCTACGTGTGCCAAATAGTGTATACCTAAACAGAATAAAATGTGACTATGACCACAAACACATCAGTGTGCAAAATCAACGGTGAAATTTCACTGTCTGTTATGTGCTTGAAGAACAACATGTTTCTTTTCTTTCCAGACGACCACTGGCAGTCTTTCTTGCCTAGTCAGGAGCCTGCACAGCTGTTAGGGCCTGGGAAAGCCAATTTCATAGGTAATGTATTTCTTGTTTCTAAACATCAGGGTGGGAAAAGAATAAAATATTCTAGATGCTGCAGGAAAAAGGCATCTCTGACTAAGAAAACCTAGACTGAAGCTTCATGTTCTGACTTTGGCAAAGTAGACTGGTGAGTCGAAGCCTGGCACTCCTGTTCTGGTCCCCTATATTGCAATGATAGTCTCTGAACATAGTAAATAGCAGCATTGCCAGGGTATGCACTCAGCTTCTAAGGCAGAGTGGAAATGGAGATACACATTCATCTGACAGATGAGACCATCCCTCTGACAATTAAAACAAGTACTTTATCTGGATAGTGTTACATCATTGTAAAATAAATTGCAATACGATAAAGCAAGAAGTGGTAAATAGATCAATAGATTCCAGTCAGGAGTGGTTTTCAGCCCATTTTTCCTTTGGCTCCTTTCTTACTGCTCACACATCCTCCTTTGGAATAACTTCTCCAGTTGCCATCTCTGCTGTGTGTTTACAGCTTTTGCTTTTAATACCCACACGCAGTCTGTTGTCACGTCCCTGCTTGGGCCTGGATCCTGGAATCTGATCCCTGTGATTAAAACTCTCCACTGCCCTGTGCCACTGAGGTTAATGGGCCACCACACAAGCACAGAGGTTTCGCTGCAAAGCACAAATTGCAGGATCAAAACTCAGATCACCTGGTATTCTTCTGAGAAAAAGCAAATCTTTCTCCTGCCTCTTTAGGGTTCACCTGGAGTCACCCAGAACACTTGTACTGTTAGATTTACTTGAGCTAAGTGTCCCTGCAAAACATACAAACGTGTCTGGCTCGCTGCAGAGCAGATAAAAGATTTTTTCTTTTGTGCCTGTGGTTACAATTCCATCCTAGCAAGAACGATCCAGCTGATAAACCCTGGGACCACACTGATCAAGAGTTTCTGTGAGCACACACACCATCAGTGGTCACACTCTGCAGACTGCAGCTCTGGGGCTGCAGAGTTGTTAGATGCTGCAGTGAGTTTCTGCACTGAACGATGCCCCCTTCCAACCCAGAGATAAAAATGGAGATTCAGCTACCACTAGAAAAATTAACAGCCTGCTTTCTCAGTGCCTTGTTAATAAACATGTGCTCACACTTTAAGGTGGTCTGGGCTCTTGTAGTATTTTTCATTCCCTTTGCCAGGAAGGGCAGGCTTTATTAAGCTGACTTGCACCCTACACCTCTACCTACCACCATGGGTGCTGAACACGACTCAGGAATTAGGGCAGACTTACCTGTGCTATATGAGATCAGTCTCTAAAAAAGCAAATGCACTCAACTCATAATTGGCATTTTTTGAATACAAGCAGAAATCTCTTGGATGCTGCTGTTTTCTGGACGGACCAAAGTAGATGTCAAGAAGCAGCCCTCCAAACTCATACCCTTAGCAAGTGAATTAGCAAGTATTTTAAGGAAAGCAGGTAAATTACTGCAACTGAAAAAAGTAAGGAATAAAATCACTACCCACAGGCTACCCTGTGCTCCTTGGTGCACAACTGCTAACCTGATCAGTTAATCTCTGCTGCTTGGGTCAGTAGCAAGGCAGGAACAAAAGAAGAGTTTAAATACAGTAATTATGTGTATCACTGCAGTGTTAAGGACAGCAGATCCCCATTACACTTGGATCACAAACAAGAATCTAACTACCAAAGTTAAAACTAATTGGAGGATATGGGTTTTTTAATTTTGTTTCACAAAGTCACATCTCGCTGGTGTCAACAGAAGTGTACAAAGTAAGTAGGTGCATTTTATCAAGCCAGGAAAAATGTTAAGACACTCTTATCTCTTTGGTAAAATCTATATCTAACTACTTCTGAGATACTAAAACAAATGAGGTGTAGGAGAGATGACAATTCTACTGCTCTGAAGACTTCACAGGACAGTGTAAGATGTCCTTTAAAGTAGTAGTATACTCTTGGACATATTCTGTACAAAAAAGTTGTGTTGTTTCACTCATTAGTGATTTTATTCTCTTCAGCAGTTAGAAGTTCAGTCACCTAACTTGTGGTTTGTTTTGTTTTTTTTTTAAGGAATTGTAGTTAGTCCTGCAATTAAGTTTATTTGTTGTTTTTCATCTCTACTTCCCTTTCAATATCTGCCTACTACCAACCAGACTTGGAATCAGAAATTCCAGCAGCTGGTTCACTTTCACTAGTTGTTTTTACAGCTGTTTCAACACTAAGATCATAAAAATAAATTGCAGAAATATCAGGGTGCTGGCACTGATGCAGAGAACAGCGAGGTGCAAACAGTATGTAAACAACACGTGACAAAGTGTGGAATTACATCAACATACTCCAAGTCCTCTCACTCCCATAAGACGAGGCAGAAAGCCATGCATTTTCAAGTGCTAAAGAGCATATTCCTCAAACTCATCTTCTGAAGGGGAAACACAACTTGTACTCGCTGCCAGAGTCAACTCTACTGACTTGGCCAACGTCCAGTTTAGGTAATGACCAGAACTGAATAAATGCTATACAATATACTCATTTGGGGCTGCCTGTGGGCTCGTTCTCCTGGGCTTGTCGGGACATCAGGAGCGCAAAGCAAACAACATGAGAAATATTCCCTGACACGCTGGCCTCTGTATCAACATCTCCTGGTCTGTGGAGACCCTCGCCACCTACCACTACTGGTTTCAATCCAACTTTTTTCTGCTCCCTTAATGGCATTTGCCTCTCACTAGTCTGTCTAGAAGGCAAATAACTGCACTTAGGTTCTCCTTGCCAATGAGGAAGGTCTGTGCCGGTGGCAGGCACGGAAAGCAGGGAAGTGTTTCTCCTCAGCTACCACTCACTCAATACTTGAATTATGGAATTGGGCAGCTCCTCCAGATCCCAGTATTTTGCCAGAAAATAGTCAAAGTCATTAAAGCACACCAAATCCAGTTACAAGAACAGTCACAGGACTGCACGAAGATGATCTGTTTGGCAAGAAACCCTGGTGGTTTGCAGTCAGTGTTTTTCTGCTCACTGAAATTTCTCATGGCTAAGATGGCACATTTCAAGCATGCAAAACACCATCAGCATTCACTTCCAGTAACTCTTCATCTTCACCATTGCTCCAATGCCGTAGAGGTTCTTTGCAGCCCAACGTCGGCCTGGCACAAAACGGATAAATGTGAGAAGCCATCACAATGCCTGCCCCAGGACTGTACTCCTCCAGCCTGTCAAAACATGGAATTACCTTGCCCTCCCAAAAGGGCAGGCAACAGAAACTGAGCAGAGATGACTTCTCCATGTCAGACACATTAACAGATAGCCAGTAAAAGGCTGCAGTTTTGCAGCAACAACTGGCTTGGTCATTGATGAATATATCTGCCAAATACATATACACATGCAAAATTCATAAAAGTCTTTGTGACACAAAGACTTATAAAATTAGATTAATACTTCAACACTCACATGAAGAGATGTAACTCACTTTCCAAGTGATGTCAAATTTTGGGTTCCCTTCTACTTGTTTCCCAAAAGCTTATACAGAGCATAAGTGCTTGAGTTTATCAGTATCCTTCAGGTACAGAGTGCTGCCTCTGACCAGCATGTTTCCTTTGGATACTTCTTGATTTAGTCTTTCAACAACTTCATAAATCCACTTAGCATTTGAAAATCCTGTCAACATTCATCTTGCTTGTGAGATGCCTCAAGACACCTGAATCTCTGCTACAACACAGGCACATGTTTTTGAGCAACTGCTGCAGGAAGCAAAAGACTGGCCTATTTTTCACCATCAGCGTGCTTCAAATCAATTGCTACTCATCTGTTGTGTCAACAGGATATTGCACATGGAAGGAAAAAATATGTCAAAGAGGTAAAA